ATAAAAGATCTTTTAAGTAGCTGAAATTCTTAGTTCATTGTGGATACGTGCCAATGTCAGACAACTATAAATAGAGAGATTTGGAAGAAAAATAAGGAGAGTCTTTATAACTCCAATGAAACAAAATGAATTTTTTTAAAGCAGTCATAAAACAGTACATGTTTTTGTAAAATTAGGGTTTGTCTCCTTTTTATCCAAAACCCCCTTTAAGTAGGAAGAACACATATGGATCATGTACTTCTAGTATAAGAGAATAAAAGGTCTTTCTTTTCTTAATTAATATTATTCTGGACAACAGTATTAATATAACACTATTCTGAATCTTACAACTAAGATTCCTTCTTCATATTATCTTTTTGTATTTGGATATCTGCTGGATCTTTTGATATTTCTCCCCCATCACTGCTTTGTTTCCCCAGAATACTAAAAAATCTTTCAAAAGATGAAATCATGCCCATGGTTATTTATATAAATGAAGTCAGCTGGGAATTGCATGGGTGTTACCTAGGGCAGACTTGGTGCCGAAATAAATTGAGTCACTTGTTATAACCACTCGAAGAGTCTTCAGGATTCCTTTCTCAAGAAATTCCTATTCTCTGAGGTCAGTTAACATGTCCACTAGCTTTAATAGCTGGGTTAATACATATTTTTAAAAGCATTGTTACTTAATTTTGAACAGCCATTTACTTTCTTATTTATCCCACTCAGATTTAATCCACCTAAATTGAAATCAAATTAGTTCTTGTAAATTAGGTCACTTTATTATGAACCTATTACCATTGTACAAGACAGCTTATCAATTGCTTCAATTCAGTAATTGTGCTGTAGACAGGCAAATTATCTAGCAGCAGTGGAGAAAGCTAGCACTTGTTTAATAGTGTTTGAATGCAATCATTCCAAACCTAGATCCCACTCCTGAATGTGCGAGATGTTAAAATGTCAATAATGGTTTCAAGGTCACAGGTCGATTTGGGGGAAGAATCAATAATATAATTAATGTCTCTGAATTCTCAGTTCTTTCTAAATTACACTGGGTTCGAATTGGCTAGAGGCTGTGGGTGTAGCTCTAAGGATTCAATACTTAACACAGGACTACCAGAAAGTAACATTTTAATAATATTTTTAGTGATGATTTTATTACTTAGTGTCTTCTGAAATAAACTCTTAAAGCAACAAAAAATAAGACTTAAAAATAGTTTAGTTCTAAACAACTCATTTATACATTTACAATCTCTCCTCAAGCTCAGCTTTAGTATTTTCCTTAAAATGTTTTCAAAATAATCTAAGGGTGGGACTGAGTTTATTAAATGACTTTGAATTGATTACTAATGTTAAAAAAAGCATATGTGGGTGGTAAAGATTAAAAAAGTATTAACTACGATTCTGCCAACTGATTAAAAAAACCTTGCATAAAAATATAATACTTCTTTACTTATTTGAGGTTTTATTTTTTATAAAAAAATTATAAATGCTATGTTTATGGAAAGTATCTTTAAGATTGTTCTTATTTTGTAAAAATTATATATATTCTGGAGAATTCTTATTGCCCTAAAAGTTAAAAGCTCATTTACTGATATCTAGGTGCCTTGGGAGAAAGGCCTAGTGATCTACTCCTGAAAAATCAGCCACTGAAAACCCTATGGAGCACAGTTCCACTCTGACACACATAGGGTCACCATGATTTGGAGTCAACTTGATGGCAAGTAGTGGTGGTGGTAGCATCTTTTAGGAAAAATTAAATTTAGAGATTAACAGAAGCAAAATGCACATAGTTTTTAAAATACTCTAAAGTAGCAATAGCAGAGGATCACGCATCCTGATTTTTGTCTATGAAATTAACTGCCTTTGTTGTCACATACACAGGTTTTACGTGGTCAAAATGAAGCAAAGCAATGGAATAACTTGAATGATACTTCAACCTCCTTTTTCTTTTTGAAATAGCCTAGTTTTCTCCAGGGGTACAGTGATGGAAATGGGTAAAAATGTGTTCTCTGAGCAATGTCCCAATAGTCACTACAGAGTGATAGAACAAGAAAAGCCGTTCATCTGGACATATATGCTACAGTCCCTAAAATGGCAGGTACTGAATACAAGTTGCAAAAATGAATGACTGGGTAGTCTCGGTGTAAATGGTGTAGGGTCATATCCACAAAAGGACAGTAGAAGAATATTATTCAGCATTGCCTATAGACCTCCCTTTTGTAGACTATTCTAAGTGAGTAAGAGTTGCCATTTATCTTTCTGGGTGATTCTGAAGGTAATTCTAGCTGTTTCTGAAAAAAGGGAATGGGCAGTTATCTAAATTGGAGACCATTCCCCAAAAATGCTGTTTATCACGATGTTGCTTATTTGTCCAGTTGTGAGGACTTTTGTTTTCTTTATGTTGATGTGTAATCCATACTGAAGGCTGTAGTCTCTGATCTTCATCAGTAAGTGCTTCAAGTCCTGTTCACTTTCAGCAAGCAAAGTTATGTCATCTATATATCACAGACTGTTAATGAGTCTTCTTCCAATCCTGATGCTGCATTCTTCTTCATATAGTCCAGCTTCTCAGACTATTTGCTCAGCATACAGATTAAATGTATATGGTGAAAGGATACAACTCTGATTTCCTTTTACTTAGATTCACAATCAATGCCCAGGGAAGCAGCAGTCAATAAATCAAATGACATATACTGCATTGGGCAAATCTGCTGCAAAAGACCTCTTTAAAGTGTTCAAAAGCAAAGATGTCACTTTGAGGACTAAGATGTGCCTGACCCAAGCCATGGTATTTTCAATCACCTCATATGCATGTGAAAGCTGGACAATGAATAAGGAAGACCGACAAAGAATTGATGCCTTCGAATTATGGCGTTGACGAAGAATATTGAATATACCATGGACTGCCGAAAGAATGAACAAATCCATCTTGGAATAAGTACAGCTAGAATGCTCCTTAGAAGCGAGGATGGTGAGACTTTGTCTCGTGTTCTTTGGACATGTGATCAGGAGGGACCAGTCCCTGGAGAAGGACATCATGCTTGGTAAAGGGTCAGCAAAAAAGAAGACTGTCAACAAGATGGACTGACACAGTGGCTGCAACAATGGGCTCAAACATAGCAATGACTGTGAAGATGGCACAGGACCAGGCAGTGTTTCGTTCTGTTGTACACAGGGTTGCTGTGAGTCAGAACTGACCCGACGGCACCTAACAACAACAACCCCAAAAATGCTACTTTGTGCCAGATTTTCCTTTTACTTCAAAGATAGGGTTAGAGACTCAACTGCTTTATCAAGTATTATTTTATAAAGTGGCTACCTTTTGAACAATTATGAAAGAGGAATGTGTTTGAGTGTTTAATTAAGGTGGGAACTTTATACTGTATATATTACCTGGTGTATAAAAAGCACTTAATTAAAATTGTTAGAGCATCCATCAGTACTAGGGTTAGGTAAAGTGGGGGGTGCACACACATAATGTGCCTAGTAGAAGACATGCCTCTCAGGCGAGACTTTGTAGAGGTTAAGAACTAACTCTTCCAATGTCAAATTTAAAGCCCTGTAATGGATATTGATGATGGTTGCACAACGTGATTGATATATAATTGGTATCACTGAACTGTACGTGCCAAAAATGTTGAATTGGCAAATGCCGTGTTATCTATATTTTTGCAACAATAAAAAGAAAAACAAAACTTTGTTCACAAAAGCAAACAAAAAAAGTAAAGCACCATGTTAGACAAAAATAATTACACCAGTGTGTTATTCTAAGTAAGAATTTAATCAAAATGAATTACTGGATACTTCAGATAAACCACTGCAGAATTCAATCTATTGCATTCCATGAGTTCCTCAGTATAAACTACCCATTGTATCCAGTAAGAGCATTGATTACAGTCACATTTGTAATATAAAAAGGTTTTTTTTATTTTGTATTTTTATAACTGATGGTGTCTAAAGTTAAACATTTTATAACCGTAAAAACTGAGACTGTAACACTAAATACCCCACAGCCAAAACTTTGTTAGGATGAATTTTAGCTTATTTAATTGAGGCAGTTCCAGTTACCTGAACCCCTACATAATGCTTGAAACGTGATAAACCAAAACCAAGCCTGTTGCCGTACAGTCAATTCCAACTTGTAGCAACCATATAGGACAGAGAAGAGCTGTCCCATATGGTTTCTTAGGCTGTAATCTTAATGGAAGCAGACTGTCAAGTTTTTCTCCCGAGGAGCAGCTGGTGGGTTTGAAGCATCGACCTTTTGGATAGCAGCTAAGCGCTTTAACCACTGTACTACCATTGTGGTCAAACCAAAAACCAACAACTAAACCAGGGCGACTCACTTACCCTGCTTTCCAGTTTTCAATGATTTACTAACAGAATGGCTTGCAATAAGACCCCTGAAGAACTTGTGAAAGCCAGATCTTCAGTAATGTATTCAAATTTCAGAACAAATAACTAAAAAAAATTTCAACAAGCTCAAATCAGAGAATAGAAATTAAATAAATGGAGTGACATATACTTCCAGTGATACATGTACCTAGCTTCCTAATAAGGCTTGGAGGAGTGGGGGGGCAGAGAGGTAAACTGAGAAAATCTGAAATATCAGTTTTATCTAGTTCAAAGGTTGTCGCCAACATTATTTAAATTATAGAGCCACTCAATACACTGCATTTAACAAATGGCATTTTCCTGATACTAAAACTTTTCTCAGAATCCAGTTACACCAAGATACACCATGATGAATTTACAATGTACAACCCTAAAATGATGCCACATTGCTCTAGGAACCCAAAACTCACATGGTCTTTGGTGTAGGCCTACATGGTGTAGGCTCAGGCTAAACATGGGTCTGGCACGCAGTAACAGTTTCCTAATCGTTGAATGGTTAAATGCATGAATGAATGAATCGCATGACAAACTTAACAGAGCAGTTTTAAAAATTAAAAGAGGAAAAAAAAGCTAAAAGAGAGGGAAAGATAAAGTGCATGAGCGCAATCTACATGAAGACTTACTTATTCCATGCTTGTCTCAGGTTTTTAGAGCTGTACACGGTAAAGCGTTCTGAAATAAAAAAGAGAAATGATAATCTTTGTTTCAAAAGTATATAGTGCAAGCATGTTAAAAAAAACTCAGCTTTTAAAAAGGCATAGTTATGTTAGCCCTAGTAAGGTCTTTACCTATTGGTTGTATAACCAGCTGTTATAAAGAGTAAAACAGGAAAAAAATAATATTTTAAATAAGTAAGCATTGCTTTCTTTTGTCTAGGATGATTTATTTCATAATCTGGTTTTCTAGTAATTCTTTCTTTTTTTTATTTATTGTGCTTTAGGTGAAAGTTTACAGCTCAAGTTAATTTCTCATACAAAAATTTATACACATATTGTTATGTGACCCTAGCTGCATTTCTATAGTGTGACAGCACACTTCCCCTTTCTACTCCGGGTTTCCCGTGTCCATTCAACCAGCTCCTATTCCTGGTCTGCCTTCTCCTCCCGCCTCCAGACAGGAGTTGCCCATTTAGTCTCGTGTATCTCCTTGAACTAAGAAGCACACTCTTCACAAGTATTATTTTACGTTTTATAGTCCAGTCTAATCTTTGAAGCATTGGCTTCAGGAATGGTTTTAGTTCTGGGTTGCCAGACAGTCTGCGGGCCATGTGTTTGGGGGTTCCTCTAGTCTCAGTCAGACAATTAAGCCTTGTCTTTTTACTAAAATTTGAGTTCTGCACCCCACTTTTCTCCTGCTCCATCAGGGACTCTCTGTTGTGTTCCCTGTCAGGGCGGTCACTGGTGGTAGCTGGGCACCATTTAGGTCTTCTGGTCTCAGGCTGATGAAGCATCTGGTTTATACGGTCCTTTCTATCTCTTGGGTTAATATTTTCCTTGTGTCTTTGGTGTTCTTCATTCTCTTTTGCTCCAGGTAGGCTGGGACCCACTGATGCATCTTAGAGGGCCGCCTACAAGCTTTTAAGACCCCAGATGCCACTCACCATAGTGGGATGCAGAACGCTTTCTTAATAAACTTTGTTATGCCCATTGACCTAGATGGCCCCCGAAACCATAGTCCCCAGACCTCCGCCCCTGCTCCTCTGTCCCTCGAAGTGTTTGGTTGTGTTCAGGAAACTTCTTAGCTTTAAGTTTAGTCCAGTTGTGCTGACTTCCCCTGTATTGTATGTTGTCCTTCCCTTCACATAAGATAATTCCTGTCTACTGTCTAGTTAGTGAATTTCCCTCTTCCTCCCTCCCCACCCTCGTAACCATCAAAGGTTTTCTTCTGTGTTTAAACCATTTCTTGAGCGCTTATAATAGTGGTTTCATACAATATTGTCCTTCTGTGACTGACTAAATTCACTCAGCATAATGCCCTCTAGATTCCTCCGTGTTATGTTTCGTGGCTTCATCATTGTTCTTTATCATTGCGTAGTATTCCATTGTGTGTATATACCATAATTTGTTTATCTAGTAATTATTTCTTAGAATATGTAAGTTTTAACTGAGTTAAGAAAAGAAACACAAGTTCCAAACCTCCAAACTCTAAGTTGATTTATAGAAGAATATTGACACATCTGCCAAGTGAGGCCTGCTGTTTCCTCTATAAAGACATCTCCAATCAAATACAAAAACGTTGGTTCTCTCTTCCTACACTATATGGTGTTTACACATGCTCACAACCAAACCACCAATGTCATATAATGTATATTTACATTTATCATTCAACAAACTTTATTAGATTTTTTTAAATTAAAAAAATAACTTTTTTTTTTTTTAACAAAACCAAACTAGGTACCATTGACCTAGTTGTCAATTACAACTCATGGTGACCCATGTGTGCAGAGTAGAACTGCACTCCATAGATAAGGGTTTTCAAGGCTGTGGCCTTTCCGAAGCAAATAGTCAGGACTTTCTTCCAAGGTATCTCTGGGTAGGTTTGAAACGCCAACCTTTCCGTCAAGCACTTAACAGACTGCGCCGCCCAGGTAAAAGAGACATAAGTAATTTCCCCTGCTGCCTCCCATTTTTCACTCCTGATGGTATAACTATTAATGGCTTGGTACATCTCTTTCCACGTCTTCATGCTTATAAATATACACCCTCCCATATATATAACCATATATACTATCTACATTTTTTAAATGGAAATTGTAGAATAAACATTACTCTGAAACTTTTTTGGAGACATTTAATAATATATAATGAACAATCCCTCAAATCAAGAAAATAGATGTAATAATTTTTTTAATATTTGTATGACATTCCATTGAGTAGAAACACCAACCATTTTCCTACTCATCCACATTTAAGTACTAGTTTCTTTTCCCATACAAGCATCCTTCAGCAAAAATCCTTGTATATTTATCTCTCTATACTAATGCTTTTATTTGTGTCAGACAGATTCCCAACGTGGGACTGTTTGGCAAACGATATGCATATTTACATTTTCACAGATGGCAACGAATTACTTTCCATTTTTCCACTAGCAATAAAAAGAGAATGTCCCTTTCTCCATATGCCTTCCAACACTGGTTGTTACCAATGTTTAAAATGCTTTAAATTTTGGCCAAACTAACTGATCCTTGATAAGCCTTACTTGGCTTCTTTTCATAATGTTTCCTGGCCATTTGTATTTCTCCTCTTCGTTTCAAATTTTGCTTTTCACAACTGGTACCAATTTTAATATTGAGTTGCGGGTCCTTTATCAGTTTATAGGAACTCTTTGTATACGATCTACCAGGTCATATATGTCTTTTTGCCTTTATCTATAGAGAATTTTTTCTTACAGAATTTAAAATTTTTATTAAGCAAAATCAATTATCTTTTGTGGCTTTTGGCTTCCTTGTCTTGCTTTTAAAAAAGAAAAGAGAAAGAAAGAAACAAAAGCCTGATCCTGAAGTTATACAAACAGTATTTTTACATTTTTCTCCTACTATTTTTTTAAAATATTATCTGACACAGTTCTAACTTTGTTCAAGGAAGATAGATAATTATGCTAGGATTATATAATAAATCATCTTTCTCCAATAATTTGAAATGATATACCTTTATCCTATATTAAGTTCCAAAATATACTTGAGTTTGGATTCTTTTTTTTTTTTAACTCATCTATTTATGCCAGTGATTTATTATTTTAATTACAGTGTCTTTTATTATTACTTAGGAAACACTTTTTTATAATTCTTTCTTTTTATTTTAAATTGGGGCAAGTTTTGAACATTTCTTCATTCATTTCACAAATAGTTATTGTATATCTAAGGATTGCTCTCATGCTGAGAAAACCAATATGAAGAAACAGAAAAAGTTCCTTCCCTCATGGAGCTTATATTCCAGAGTGGGTGAAACAGACAACAAAAACATAAACACCACCCCCACCACCACCAGGACCACCACCAACAAAATGAACAAGGTAATTTTATAAAGTGGTAAGTGCTCTAACAAAATAAAACAAGAAGATTTGATATGGAGTGACCAGTGTGAGAGGGGCACTTTAGGTTGGGTGATGAGGGAAGGCCCATTTAAAAGAAAACAAGTTCCCATTAGAAATCTGGTTAATATATCTCTTTACAGGCAGTCCCCAGGTTACGAAAGAGATCCATTACTAACTCTGTCTTTAAGTCATCAAGTGCAATTTGTAGGTAAGCTGGAACAGGTGCATACAGTTCTTATTTAGCCTACTTTAGTGCAAGAAAAGGCTCAAACCCTTTCCAATGATTTAAAAGCTGCACATGCAGCAAGTGAAGGTGATTGTGATGAAGAATTTGTTGTGAGTAGGGGCTGGTTCAATCATTTCAAAGTGCAGGCAAATTTACAGAATATTAAAGGGCGAGTAGGAGTTGTCTATAAATTGGATTTTCATAACCCAGGAACTGCCAGTATTTTAAAAGGATGACACAAAATTTTTGCATACAGGAATGTGGTGTGTCTCTCCATTTATGCAGTAAAATTAAATGTTTTTATTCATATTTATCTTATTTCTTTTTAATACTTTAAAAGTTAATAGACTTAATTTTACTTAAGTATTAGTCAGAGTCTTTTGTCAATGTTGTCTGCTTTTAATTGTAAGCTTTTACAAGGGAGTGCCAAAATGATTTTTATTGCTTTTGTATAAAAAATACTATCATTTGATAAGAAGAACAAATAGAAAAAACCCAAAAAGATTCAGCTTCCTATCTTTAAAGACAGAGTTTACTCAAAGGAAATGACTGGGAATACTATGCCCTGATTCATTCATTTATTCAACTACCATTTATTGAGCAAACTCTTGTGTGCCAGGTATAGTTCTTGGAGCTGAAGATACAGGAGGAAACCAAACAAAAAACCTGCCTGTCTACAGGGAGCTCCTATTCTAGGAGGAAGGGAGTGTGCCTGGAGGCAGGATGGCTGGAGCAGCCAGGGCTCCAGAGGAGAGCATGCGGGGTGAGACAGAGACAGGTGACCAGAGCAGGGAAGGCCTTTGTGGCCATTAAGATATGATCTAGCCTTTTTTTTAAAGGTTGACTCTGGCTTCTGTTTGGAACATAGACCAAAGGAGGAAAGGCTGGAAGTAGGGAGATGAATTAAAGGTGATGGTAACAGTCCATGAAAGAGACAAGATGAACTGGGCTACGGTAATAGAGTAAATGCAGTGAGAAGAGGTGAGAATCTGAAAATATTTAAAGGTTACAGCCCATAAGATTTATTGATGCATTGGACGTAGGGTGTGACAGAAACAGGAATCACAGGTGACTAGTATAGTACTTGTCATTGTGTGCTGTCAAGCTGATTCTGACTCATAGTGGCCCTATATGACAGGGTAGAACTGCCCCTCAGGGTTTCCCAGGCTGTAATCTTTACAGGAGCAGATCGCTAGGTCTTTTCTCCCTCAGAGCCGCTGGTCCATATGAACTGCCAACCTTTTGGTTAGCAGCCAAGGGCTTAACCATTGCACCACCCCTGCTTCTAGAAGAGTACATACTGATCTCCAATTCCCAGGTATCAAAGATGTGGAATTTATACACAACTCAAATATTAGCCTGAGAACAAGTCAATCATTCGTGATGATTCAGAAGGTTTTTAAAGTTTGCACGG